GGGGGAGGGGGGTGTTAGTCTGCAGAGAAGCTCCCTGGAGAACGAACAGGAACGGACCCCATCAAATTTACAGCGAGATAGGAGCAGAGGCAGCCAGTGGGTTTTGCTCGGATAACTGCAAGCACGTCAAGCCATCCACTCTCTTCTCGAACCCTGGCATGCCAACTGCCCATCACAGCACCTTTAAAAGCAGAGGCACAAACGTCACGAGTGTTTGACCCTATAGGGCTGTGTGGTTCTAGATTTTATCAGAGGGCCGTCTTTAAAAATAGAGGGTCTTCGATGTTGCCAGGTTATATAGACTTACAGATTTCTTTTTCCAGACCAGCAGTTCAAATGCTGCAACCATGACAAGTCAGTGTCATCAGGGCCTCACGTCTCCAAAGTCACCTCATCAAAACTGCACTGTGTCAAAGGAGCTTCCCCACTAACCATGGGTTGTGACAGGTGGTGTTCCTCCTTGGGATACAGATACATGGTTTACAAACAGCTAGTGTGTGAAACCGCAGACCAACACGGAGGATTCCCGAACAACGGAAGACAGAGCAGTGACAACCTCGGATGCCTGGGCACCTCCACTCAAGGCCCGGCCAGAGACGCCATAACATCACCAGGGCGGAGTCCACAACCCAACATATCTCGCCCCAGATCTTAATGTAAAAAATACTTGTCCAGGAGACTATATATTAACCTGGTACCAAAAGGGCCGTGGAGACTCAGGAGGTCGGGTTTCTCTTTTGGTTGAAGAGTTGGGGCGGCGGGGGGGGGGGGGGGGGGGGGGGGGGGGGGGGCGTATTTTGGTAACATGGGAAGCAATATGGCACAGAGAAATAGCTAATAGGGTTCATTAGGTTTTAAAGCCCACAATTTAATAAAAGGTAATAATTAAAAACAATACCCGTATTTACCTTAAAAAACATAAACCCCAAACATTCATCTCATTTCTTGGCCTTATGTTAGAATTCTATTGCTTCATTTACATGTAGATGATTAAAAATATAGAGAGAGATCTAGATATTCTGGTTATGTACACAAAGCAGAATCGAGGGTTAAAACAAAAATGGAATTTTGGAGTGTGGTCAAATAAGGTGCACAGAATCCAGAACCCTCGGGGGGGGGGCGGTCTGCTGGCCCCCCCCTCCCCGAGACACTCTGTGTCCTGTGATGGCAGGAACCGGGCTCCATCCCCCACAATCGTGCAATGGTGCTCACGGTTTCAAGAACTACTAGGTGCAGTGTTTGGCTCAAGCTTGCCAGTGTCTTCACTCCGTCTCTGAGAAGTGGGACACTGTTCCTAGGTCCGATTCCCCTGAAATACTCTAGAACTTCGTCCTCTCTGCCCCCTGTTCCAGAGAAGACCTCACGGTGCCAGCAGAGAAGAGGGCATGGCTGAGGGTCTGAGGCTCTCACCAGGACCGATTTCTGTGTGGATTTCAACACACGACAGACACTGGACTGCAACATTCGAGACATTTAAGGCAGCGGGTTGACTTAATGACTAGTTTTCCAGATCAAGGGTTATGGCGTGTGCAGATCCGCCATGGAACTGCCGTGGTCTGTGCTGATGCGAGCAAGGGGCTGTTTCTACTTTAACTGGCATGTGGGTTACTGGATTCTGCACACTCAGAAAGCTGGGGGACCCGGTCACCCCCGAATACTTATTTCTCTTCTGAATGCACGGCAGTCCGCGGCCCAAAGTGCTGTCGGGAGGACACGATTGGCAGCTGGCTTCGTTATCTTGTGAACGAAAGCGAGAACAAAATTTTACTTCGACCCCCATTTTCATACTTGCTAGCGCCAGTCGCTTCCACCAGAACTCTGGTGGAGGCCCAACCCACAGAGGACTAAGGCAATGGTGCCGACACGAAAGGGTTCTTCTAAATTACTTTTAAGAGCAATACTTTATAGACTGTCTTGTCACTGGGAAAGGCTGCAGAGGAAGCCCCGGCCCGGGGAGGGCACCCTTCCTCTCCCTGGCTCGGGGCGAGGGGTTCCACCTCTAGACAGGTTTCCCCAACCCCAGGCTGTGCTTCAAAAGAGAAGACCAAGAGGGGACCTGGGCCACGTCAGCGGGGTGGCCGGGGGAGGCCACGGGTTCTCGAGAGAGAACGGTCGGCTCATCACGGTCTCTGATGTCGACTGCAGTCGGAAACCAACACCACGCCCGTGTGGCACGCTGGCCCCTTTGTCTTTGTTCCCTTCTGAACTCCCATGGCCAGAGCCGGGCAAGGGGGACTCTTGGTGCAGTCCTGCGGTGGGGCGGGACACCTACGTTTCTGACCCTGTCCGAGTCTGCAGCTTAGCAGTGAGCAGATTCTGAGCATAGGCACAGTGGCAAAGAACAGTGTAACAGCCGCTGGTCAATTCCATTTGGTGGCAGCGCAATAGCAGCAAAGAAAATTCCCAAACAGCTCCGTGTGTATCCAGCTTTTGGAAAGGAAAACATTTTTAAAAAAATCAATAAACAGGTTGTTTGTTTGTTTTTTTTTAAATATCCAAGGGTTTCAGAGTTTCTGGTAACTGCTCTACCCAGAACGACGACGACACAACAGAAAACACACAGGAGTACGGCAGTCGTGTGGGAGCAGAAGTGACGATGCCACTTTTCAAGGGGGGGAGACTGGGACCTCAAGACAAATGTGTCCCCATCAGAAACAATAGCAATAACATAAAAGAAGCTGTCGTTCCCTAAAGGGCCGAGCCGCACAACTGCAGATACATTCCAAACTGGGTCAGTAATGAATGGAGGCACCGCCGTGGTCGCCGCGACTCCTGTCGGGAGCCCGGCCCTACAACATGCCACAGGGCGTCTGAGCGGTCACACCTGTTGGGAGACAGGCTTCTATGACTCACCTCCAGCCCTAGCCGCCCCGCCCCCCCAGGTTCTAGAAAATTGTTGTAGTTGTCTTCTTAGAGAATCTAAGACAATAAAAGACTAAAAGATGTCTGGAAATATGTTGTGTAGAAAAATTAACTCTCAGCTTAAAATAACATTCAAAAAGGCACTTCATCCTGTAGGAAAGAGATTCTGAGTTGGGTCAGCTGCTCCGAGCTGGGATAGAAAGGGACCGGTTGTCTGCTTGGAAGGGGGGATGGGCAGTTGAAAGGAAGTCCGATAGATATCAAGCTTTTTCTTTTTTTTTTTTTTTTCCATTTTTTTCTTTTTGGTATGTTTTAAGAAAAGCAAATACCGTAAAATGCATGTCCCTTTATGAAATCTGTTAAAAGAGTTCATCTTAAAATAGTGTTTCTGTTCTTAAAAAATAAAACAGGTAGGTATGGCCACTTTGACCTCGCGGCCTGGAGCACGGAGTGTCCTCGCTCCAGGCAGGTCCCCCGAGGCCGAGGTCCCGGAGCGCATGGGCGGGGCGGGCGGAGGCCGGCGCTACCTGTCACAGAGTCTGTGCAGCATGCTGTACACGTCGTCTTCCCGGCTCAAGCCCTCGAAGAAGGGGATGAGGTCCAGCAGCTCTGTGTCCGTCATGTCATCGAACCAGGACTGCACGGGCACCTGGAAGACAGGGTGTGGAGGGGGCAGCTGAACCGTGCCCGGCACCGGGGGCAGCTCCTAGCCCGACTGGTGCCCGCACGTTTAGCATTTTCTTTGGTAAGGAGGACGGGTGTCTAAAAAGCATCATCGTCACCATCTTGTTTGTTCTCTCCCGTCCCAACTAAGGTGGATCCAGAGCTACCTGGTTCAGGAAGAAGGCAGAGTTCAGTGTGTTTGCTTTTTAAGTGAAGTGTAAATGTCAGTGTGTGTGCGTCTGCTTGTTTTGCTCTCCTGCCACAGAAAAGGCGGCCACGGCGCGGAGTGTATGAGAGCTGGCCTTGCCACCTGCCAGTCTCAAAAGCTCTTTCCGCTGCGTCTAACAGCTCCTTACCCCTCAGAGCACTTGGAGCCACAGCTACCTGCCGGCCACTGACACCACGGAGCCCACAAACCGGGCACGGCGAGGCTTCCCATTGTGCCGCACAGCCAAAAGCAGAGAATTTCCTCCCATCCTTAGCAGCGATCGGTTAAAAGGAGAAGTATAAAATTTCAGGACAGTCTGAGCTCTGGGCACAGACAGGATTCTCCCTTAGTTTTAGACGTGGGGGGTGGTGGTGGTAATGGGTAGCAGCCAGCGGTGCAAAAGAAGAGATGTAAAAAGGAATTTGGGGAAAGCGAAGGAGTTCACAAAAGTAACATTTTGGGCCCTTTGAAGGACTGCTCAGAAACGAAACGATTCATTGTATAATTAAAAAATAGGGGTGCCTGGGTGGCTCAGTCGGATAAGCATCCAACTTGGTTTCAGCTCAGGTCATGATCTCACGGTTCGTGGGACTGAGCCCCACATTGGGCTCTGTGCTGAGAGCATGGAGCCTGCTTGGGATTCTCTTTCTTTCTCTTTATGCCCCTCCCCCACTTGTGTTTTCTCTCTCTCTCTCTCTCTCAAAATAAAAAAATATATATAAACAAGGTAAGGATTAACAAAAAAATGACTACTCCTAGGGGAAGGGCAGGAAAGAGGGAGAAGGCAGACATGGACACAAGACTTCTCCAAATTTATCTCTGTTGGTAGCTTTGATGTTGGAATCATGGAAATGTGTTACATAATTGAAATAAAATTAAACCATTAAGAAAAGAAAGCAATAAAAAATGAACCCAAGGTGCATATAAACTTGGTGACATAACCACACTGAGAATTATTTCAAGTGATTTTAAAACGTAGTGTTCTGTCCGTACATTTCTCAAAGACACCCTAAGTGCATGCAATTGTCTTAGTAGTAGTAATAATATTAGTACTCTATTTGGAAACTATTAAACATATACTATAGAATAAGTCAAATATGTAATGAAGTGTTAATATATTTAGGAACCCAGAATTTCAGCACAAGAGAAAGAGATACAAATACAAAAATAAAACCAAAGAAATTAAATAAAAACTGTTATAACACTGAACTGGAAAAACAATATGAATTTATGATTTAATTTTAATTCTAAAAATATATATATATGTTAGCTCTGTCTAGTATAAAAGGCCAGAAGCAAAGGACATCTCAGCAACAATAAGAGTCCATCCAAACTGTGGTCTCTCAATACCATTCCCACTAATAGGAACAAGGCTCTATAGAAAAGTGGTTGATTCCAGGGTGGAGGTAAGAAACGGACAAGACGAGCCTGGAATATCTTGTTGCACCAGAAGCAGGAAGCTTTCAAAGACTATCGTTATTTGAAGGGATGTCCGCTGTCCAAAGGTGAACGAACATTTGAGCATACAAAAGAATAATAAATGTATTAAGTTATAACAATGAAAAATGCTTGAGTTCATCATAATGCCCCCCTCCTCCAAAATTCACTGGCTACTTTTGGAAGCTGCTAGACCATCGACTCATTACTCTGAAGATTAAAGAATTAAAGAAAAAGAACCAAGACATTACCCTGACTTCCCGATTCAAACATTCAAACTGAATTTAGGGTAATCAAGTAGTCGACGAGGGCAAATTCGATTTAAACAAAAAAAGGGGGGGGGGAGTTCTGGCCAACACACGTGGAAAGAATGATAGAATTTAGAAATCGCCATTTCGCAATTCTTAATGAAATAGTTGATGTAGGCAATGATCATCAACGACCGCTCAATTTCTAGGTCAAAGGTTGATGGGAAATTTAAAAACAGTAGGATCAGGCTAACAACACCTGACTCCAAAGATCAACTTGAAGTCTTTAAAAGTGGGACAGCCTGACATGATATGCCTCCTAATGTGATAGCATACTAAGTACACAATACCACCTGTGATGTGTTCTTGAAAAAACAAAACTGAACCTGCACTGAATCAGGCAGTAGTGCTCTAAGTACTTGTTCAAGGGAAACATGGGAAACCAGCACGAGGCTGCAACTAGACAAATCCAGAAGAGAGGACATTTCTGTAAGACAAATAACTAGACTTTCTTCAACCAGTAAACAGGACAGAAGAAAAAGGGAGAGGGGAGGGAGAACTGTTAAGATTATACGCATTATTAACCAAAGCAGTGCATGGACCTTGCTTGGTTCTGATTTAAACAGTCCAAATGCAGGACATTTCGAGATGATAAGGAAAATATGAACACAGTCTGGATATTAGAGAGTATTAAGAAACTGTTAGCTCTGTCAGATGGGATAATGGAACTGTGATTGTATTAAGAAGTAATCCTTATCTGTTAAGAGACACATGACAAAATGCATTACGATGAATTTGATTAACTCACTATAATGAATGCATGTAAATATAATAAATTTGGAACGTTTACTCAAATAATCATTACTCACTAACTGAATCTAGCTTGAACTCAGTTCTTTGCTATATGGGGAGCCACAGAGCTCTGGATTCAAGGAAAGGACGCTGGGCTGGGGGGGGGTCTTTTGTTTAGTGTGAGAAGCCCAGGCTCGGGAGGAAGCCTGCTCTCCGGGAAAGGCTGCCTGAGCTGAGGGCCAGTGTGGCGGTCCTGCTGATGGCTGGCAGTCACCAGCGGGGTTGGCTGACCTCCCTTTCCCTGGAAACGTAGGACGGGAGGTGGGAGAGCATGTCTCTCTTGCTTGGACAGTCATGCTGCACCCAGTGGGGACTGTCACACTCCGGGGAGTTTTAGGTAGGAGATGTCCCCACTGTATACTTTTCAGACATCATTGTGAGGTGGGAAAGCTTGGCAGGCTTGTCTGAAGGCCTTTATCGAGGTGTTTCACTCATTCTTGTTTAAGAACGTCTTCTGCTGAAGAGGTAGCCAGGCCTTTTGAGTCTACGGGAGCCATGAGCCAGCTCCAGGAGGTTCGCGACGGAACCCTTCTCAGGAACAACATTAACAACGCTAAGATGCAGCCCCACTGAGCACTCACCCATCACAGGCACTGTTCCAAGTGCTTTCCACGCTCTGTCACGCTCGATCCTCCAACCTTCCTATGGGTCAGCACCCCCAGAATTCCCATTTGGTGGACGAGGCAACTAAGGCTCAGTGAGGTGAACGAACTGGGTCAGTGTCACGCAACTGCTAAGTGGCAGAGCTGGGGTTTCACCAAGGCCAGGCCAAGAGAGCTGGTGCAGATGCTTGAGAGCACGAAGGAGAAGCTGGATGGGC